TAATTGGCAGATGGGATGCCATTCACTGGAGTTTTGGTAACTAGAATTGCCTGGCCTATTTAAAGACAATGAGGGTAACTCATACTCAGATTCTAGTAGTGAGTACAATTGCTAGACCAAATAGAGGAACCTTTATTGATAGTTGTCAGGGTCCACCATAACACTAAGGGAATCTTCTGTGGACAAAGTCATTATCCATGTGAAAGTACAAATCTTTGATACTGAGCACTGTGAACAACATGTTCTTTTCCCAGGATGTTACTATTGATGTCATTATAACAATACAGAATTTTAGATTGAGACTAAAAACACTGAATTGGTCCAGAGAAAGAATGGACCTTATCATATGCCAAATGTATGAAAGGAGTGCTAGAAGGCCACCAAAAGGTAGTGTGTGTGAAGACTAGGTGTAGATGACATCAGTAATTCACAACTCCCAAGCTTCCTGTTGTGAAGTCTGAAGCCACTTTCTGTATCAAAACCATGCAATATTACAGAGATGCTTCTGCCCTAATAGGCTACTATAAGGTGGGTGTCTAGCTGGCTGGATAATCATTCTCAGAGAGTAGTTATTATCTGTTCACAGTCATCCTGGAAGGGCATAACAAGTGGAATTGCACAGGGGTCCGTTTTGGGACCAGTTCTGTTCAATATTTTCATCAATGATTTAGATGATGACACAGAGAATATGTTTATTAAGTTTGCAGATGATACCAACCTGGAAGGGGCTGCAAGTGCTTTGGAGGATAGGTTCAAAATTCAAAATGATCTGGACAAACTACAGAAATGGTCTGAGGTAAACAGGATGAAGTTTAATAAGGAGAAATTTTCTTCAGGAAGGAACAATCAGTTTCACAAATTCTTAATGGGAAGTGATTGTTTAGGAAGGAGTATTACTGAAAGGGATTTAGAAGTCACAGTGGACAAGTTAAACATGAGTCAACAATGTGACACTGTTGCAAAAAAAAGCAAACATTAATCTTTCGGGAGCGTTGTGAGCAAGACATAAGGTAGTCATTCTTCCGCTCTACTCTGTGCTGATTAGTCCTCAGTTGCAGTATTGTGTCCAGTTCTGGGCACCACAGTTCAAAAAAGATGTGAAGAAATTGGAGAAGGTTCAGAGAAGAGCAACAAAAATATGACGTATGAGAAAAAATTTAAAGAAGTGGGCTTATTTAGAAAAGTTTAGTTTAGAAAAGAGAAGGCTGAGAGCGGTCATAGCAGTTTTCAAGTATCTAAAAAGGTATTACAAGGAGGAGGGAGAAAAAAATGTTCTCCTTGGCCTCTGAGGATAGATCAAGAAACAATGGGTTTAAATTGCAGCAAGGGAGGTTTAGGTTTAACATTAAGAAAAACTTCCTAACTGTTAGGGTGGTTAAACACTGAAATAAATTGTCTAGGGCTACGTCTACACTGGCCCCTCTTCCGGAAGGGGCATGTAAATTTCAGCAGTCGTCGTAGGGAAATCCGTGGGGGATTTAAATATCCCCCGCGGCATTTAAATAAAAATGTCCGCCGCTTTTTTCCGGCTTTTAAAAAAGCCGGAAAAGAGCGTCTAGACTGGCCCCGATCCTCCGGAAAAAGTGCCCTTTTCCAGAGGCTCTTATTCCTACTTCAAAGAGCCTCCGGAAAAGGGCACTTTTTCCGGAGGATCGGGGCCAGTCTAGACGCTCTTTTCCGGCTTTTTTAAAAGCCGGAAAAAAGCGGCGGACATTTTTATTTAAATGCCGTGGGGGATATTTAAATCCCCCGCGGATTTCCCTACGACGACTGCTGAAATTTACATGCCCCTTCCGGAAGAGGGGCCAGTGTAGACGTAGCCTAGAGGTGTTGTGAATATTTCAGATCAGGTTAGACAGATACCTATCAGAGATGATCTAGACAGTGCTTTGTCCTGCCGTGAGGGCAGGGGATCAGACTTGATGACCTCTTGAGGTCCCTTCAAGTTCTAGGATTCTACGATTCTAATAGGACCCACCATTACCTTATAAAGCAACAGATCTGAAGATCCTGAAAGAAAAGTTTGTTCGACAGCCTTTAATCTGGCAAGGAATCACTTATTCAATAGATGGGACTGTGAAATCTATACTTCTTATTGTTTGTCCTCTGTGATATCTACTTCTCTATCAATGACAGGTTTCAGAGAGGTAACTGTGTTAGTCTGTATCACCAAAAATAACAAGGAGTCAAGTGGCACCTTAAAGACTAACAAAACTAGCAAGTTTGGTGGAGAATGGGCAAATAGAAACTCCACTGTGTGGCTGCTCTTGAAGTTGCTTGTTATCATGCAGAATGGATGGCACAGCTGGGGCAACTGCTTCATTCAGAGACAAGAAAGATAGTCTTGTAGTACCAGTTGAAATGCCTGATCCAGCTCACAGTCTTTCTACTCTTGGATCAGAAGGATGCTTTGGTGCTATCTTAGAGGAGAGGGGTATCGTAGAATCAAAGAATACTAGGACTGGAAGGGACCTCGAGAGGTCATCGAGTCCAGTCCCCTGCCCTCATGGCAGGACCAAATACTGTCTAGACCATCCCTGATAGACATTTCTCTAACCTACTCTTAAATATCTCCAGAGATAGATGTGCCACAACCTCCCTGGGCAATTTATCCCAGTGTTTGACTAACCTGACAGTTAGGAACTTTTTCCTAATGTCCAACCTAAACCTCTCTTGCTGCAGTTTAAGCCCATTGCTTCTTGTTCTATCCTCAGAGGCCAAGATGAACAAGTTTTCTTCCTCCTCCTTATGACACTCTTTTCATTCTTCCATGGGGTAGAATGATTCCATATTAGATCACACTGACCTGGGGAATCATATCTATGGGTCTCATGATTCCCAGTAAGGCCAATTTGAAGGTAGGTTGTGGAGATCACCAAGGTATGAGTATAGTCAGTCCCAAGGGCAGATTCTGGGTGCAGGTTGGTATCAGTAGATTTTCAATCTCCTGCCTGGATGGATCTTTCTTAGAGGCAGGGATGACAATTCCTCCAGTATCTCAGAGTCTCCAGATGTCAAAAAAGGACAGATCTGGTTCAACTGGAAGTGCCAGTATCTCCATGGGAGAAAAAAATGGCAGATAGTAGACATAATGGAAGAGACTTATCCCATAGCCTGTATCTCTTGGTAGAATCAAAATCATCCGGGTAAGGGATCATCCCAACAACAGATGAGATTGAGGTGAAACAAAGATGTATCTCTTATTCTCCCTAAAGGGCTCAAGTTTCTGTCTGTGCATAATGACACAGCCAATATAGGGAGGCTCTGAGTTAGCAAATGTATATGGAGTTGTGGTGGCATCATCAGGGGCAAAGTTTCTCAGTGAGGATGCTTCACCAGTACCACTTTAAATCTGGATTTACCTTGGGGGCTCTATTGTATTGCTTGTGAAAGTCATCAGGCTGACAACCTCTATCTAGTTCAGCACAGGGAGTTGTAACTGTGACATGGAGGGATAATCTGCAGATGTGAGACAACAACCCATTTAATCTTTGACCACTCTGTAGAGACTCCCATCAAAGGTATCAGTTGGTGCCAATTCTGGGATTGATGTGGACAGTTATCTAACAGGTGCAGGTCTCAGATGACAGCCCCAAAACACATGCTAACAAAAGAGTTTTTAAAAACAAATCACTTTAATTAAACCAATATAATTTTCTATCTTATAACACAACATGATCCTATGCACAGTATTCCTAATAAATTTTAATATAGGCATAATGATCATCTGCTTAGCTTCTGAAACATCCAGGCATTTCAGTATAAAAAGCTATTGAAATGATCAAAATGAGCCAGGTGTTCCCTTTCTTTTTACTATTTTTTTTAAACAAAACCCCCTTTGCATATGTAGACAAGGCTGGCCAGGGAAGGGTATCCATTAAGTAAGAGGTTATGGTAAACAATATTGGTGGTTTAAGAGCATACATCTTAAAAAAAAATCCCTTTTCATCACCTGCCACATACAAATTAGTTTATTGTTTGTGACTCCTGCCAAAGAATGCACCTTCTTGGTCACTCATCATTTCAACATGGTATGGCAGGTTTGATCATGCCTTGGGAACCTTTCACAACAGGGCTCTGTCAAACCATTCCTCTTCTGTCCACAGTTCCATACACTTACTGACTTCTCTTTCTGGAGCAGATAGGAAGGTCTGTAGGCTCAGACTCCACTAGTACTGAAGGGATACATACCGCCATTACTTGTGCAATGTAACTGTCACATCGCTGAAAATTAAGATCAGTGGCCTCTCCTTGGGGCACAATAAAAAGGTACTGCAAATTTCACTTTGTAGTAACTACCACTACAGAAATTGCATTACCCATATTAGAAAGAGTCATAAGAAATGTTCTGGAAGGTTAGTTGGATAGGGTAGGTGTCACATCTATAGTATGATAAAAAATCACTTTGCTAACTTACAGTGTTTTCCCCTTTGGTAACACCCTTTATTAAGGTGCCATTTATAAATAGTTAATTATTATTTATTAATGCATAAGCCACTTTATAGCATGCTGGATAACAACTGAAATTCATGTATTAAAGATGTACACACATGGTTTAATACAATTTACATCTGATAATATCCTTTGCAACAGATTCTCATCGCATCATCTGTTAAGCATTTATTACTAATGCATTTTATAACATTCTTTATAATACATTATTTGAGGAAGTAGTTGCATTTAGTGATCATTTCATAAATAAGAATAAAGCATTTGTAAATGGCACCTTAATTTAAAGTGTTACCTTCACATTACCGCATAGTCACTTACCATCCGTCTCACTTTGTAATTATTCTCAAAATGCACCTCTTAATAAAAGACATGCTCAGTTGTATTCCTTCCTTGACTCTCCACCTGATTAAAAGCGTATTGAGTCATTTTCTTACAGCTGTTCTCAGATGTTTAATGGTTTGCTACTTAGTCTGATTTATGTGTTTTAAAATTATGTCAAACTTTCTACTTATGAAAAGATGAGCACAATAAGATAGATAATTGCCTACCAGGTTGGCCAGTGCTGGTTGTTTGGATTCTTTGTAGAATTCTATTTTCCCACCAGCAAGAACAATCCAAGAAGTTGACCAGTTTTTCCTTAAAAAAGCAAATAAATTCATTAATGGATGAATTAAGTAAGAGCTATCTTTGTTGAGAAAGACTGAATTAACTTACTGTATCATAACACTCTATATTTGTTTACATAGATGCTAATATTTTTTTAGAAATGAAAATAGTACAAATTCACACACTGTCAACCAGTGCACTTTTGTTGATGTTAACGGAGTTGCATCTGTTTACGCCATGTCTGACTTCGGTCCAATGGGTTTGGAGGCTCAATCCCTTTAATTCTCATTTAAAGTCCAGCATGGCTCCTAGCCATCAAAGCACTTAAGCACATGCACAACGTTAACCAAAGGAATAGCCTAGTTGAAATCAATGGTGCTATTCACATGCTAAAAGTTCACATGTGCTTAAATATTTTACTGCATCAGGGGTTATATGATTAGGCACCATTTGACAATTAGTATTTAAGGACATGTCTATACTAGGAAATAATTTCAAAATAAGTAAAATCAAAATAATAACTTCCAAAATAACAAAGTCAAAATACCGTGTCCACACTATGGGGGAGCATCGGTAGCTTAGAATTATTTTGAAATAGCGCGTCGACACTGATTGGAGCCTGCCTTGGACTTAGAGCCCCTGGAAGCACTCCGGGAAGGACACTGGGAGGGAGGCTGCCTGGTCAGGAAAGCTGAGACATGTGCTCTCAGGAGCACCTCTCTATGGCAATGTCTCACATGCCCATACTCCACTGCCTACCCCCTCATGGAACACCAAACTAATGCAGTATGTTTTGATTGCCCTTGTGGATGCCACAGCACAGAGCTGGACCTGATGCAAAGCAATACCATGCTCACAGGTCTTGTGCTGTGCTTCATGGTGCAGTTCATCCAGACTGCCCACATGCTGCTCCAGCAAGATGATGACCTGCCCAAACAAGAGGACCCCTTCACACAGGCCCTGGTTCTCCAGTGCTGCAAATGCCCTTAAACCCCTTGGACACTGTCAAACACCACTTCTGGTGGAGGGAGACCAGTTCCCTAGTGGGATCACATGCAGTGATTGGACAATCAGAAGTGGCTCCAGAACCTCTGCATGTAGAAGACCACCTGCCTGCAGTTCTGCAAATGGTTTACCCCTGCCCTCAAGTGACAGAACACCCAACTGTCACCTGCCATTTTCCTGAAGAGGCACTGAGATTGCGGGCAGGAGGGGAAGACAGAGCAGCTCAGCCTCCTTCTGTGTCCTGCACACGCTGGATCCAGCTGGGTCTGGCACTTCTCTAGGTCAGCAGCCTGCTCCTGGTGCTTGTCGTCAAGACTGTGGATGAGGGACTGCAGGTGGGCCAACTACTCCACGAGGAGTAACAGTTAATCTGAACTAAGAACTTAGTTCAGATTAACTTTAAACTGCTGCGTGTAGCCACAGGCAGTTCGTTTGGACTAAGGGGGATTTAAAAATGGCAGCCGGATGGGAACATGCAAATAAAGCCCAGGATATTTAAATCCTGGGCTTCATTTGCAACTCCGGTTCCCTGATTTGCCTACCTAGCTTGAATTAATGAGCTGGTGTAGACATACCCAGAAAGAGTATCCTGGGTGAAATCCTGGCCCAACTGAAATCAAAGAAAAAACTCTCACTGACATTAATACAGCTGGGATTTGACTCCATGCATATTAGTGACCATCAAGACTATAAAAATGATGAGCAAAACCAAATATCCAAAGGCAACAATACATGAAACACCCAAAAATGAAAATTATTCACCCATCTTATTTGGTGAATATTTACCAAAAGCAAACATATTTGAAGAAATCCTTTGTGGATCCTTTGTGAAGACTTGCTAACAGGCTAAGAGTTGGATTTTCCAAAGTAACACAGGAGCACAAATACCACTAAAAGTCAATGGAACTCATGTATAAGTGATTTAGGAGCTTCTACTCAAACAGCCAATGAATATTGGGCCCAGCCCTCAGCTGCTGTAAATTATGCTAATTCACAATAGCTGAAGATATAGAACATTGTATGTAATAAACACTTCAACAAGTTCTGGTAACTAATCCTCACAATATCCTTATGTGGCAGTAACCGTAACGGTCTGTCATTAGCAAGGTTTGAAATTTGACTACCAGTATAATCTAAGGGGAAGGGTTCTCCAGCCAAATCTTACTTTCAGCTCCTTTATTACTGGAGGGTTTTCACAATGAATGTCCTTTCTACAGCCCCTGCTAGAAGATCAATGAGCAATAATGGGTGATTTTTCTTGACACCCCTTGTATTTTACTTTCCCAGCAAGGTCATTAGAGGCAGTACCCATCTTCCTCCATCCCCTGCCTCCCCACACACACCCATGTGTCAATCCAGGGTGTGTTTCATAATTAAACCAAACATGAATTAGTATTAAACCTCAAGATGAAAGCACGAACTAGCACTAGTCTAGTCAGAAGAACCAGTCAGAAAGTGTCACTCTCAGGCTAAGTCTACACAGCCATTTTTTTGCAGCAGAAAATATGCAAATCATGTTCTCACTTGCATATCTTCAGCCGATCCTTTTTGCGGAAGAGGTTTTGCTGCTAAAAAGCCCATGTAGACAGGGTCATTTGTCATAAAAAGCCCCTTTTGCTCAAGATCCCTTATTCCTCAAAAAATAAGGTTTACAAAATCTTGCGCAAAAGGGTTTTTTTCTGACAAATGGCCCCATCTACACGGGGCTTTCTAGCGGCAAACCTCTTCCGTAAAAAGGATTGGAAGAGGATATGCAAATGAGAGCACAAGTTGCATGTCTTCTGCTGCAAAAAAAAGGCAGTGTAGACATAGCCTCAGCTAAGGCAAGGATCAAGAGAAAAAGGTGGAAGTAAGTGTGTGTTCAGCTCCAGCAAGAGGTGGCTGAGCTGTGGCAAAGCCAGAAAGGGAGCTATTTAAAGAGCTGGCAAGGAGCCAGGTTGCAATAAGACAATACCTGTAAGAAATTGTAAGGTACCTTTACCACTGTAGAGATTAATTTTAAGCTTCAATTAGTCTCACAACCACAGACAGATGTGTGATAATAATGAGTAATCTCGCTTCCCAGTCCCATCAAGCCCTTTGACAGGGTTGTGGACAGAGACACAGAAGAAAAATATCCTGGGAAGTTTTACTGATTCATCAAAGAGAGGAGAAAAGGGTCAATGGTCAGTCTCTGACTTCTAAGCAGTAGGGAGAAGAACAGGCCATCCTATCTCACTCTGATCACCTGACCAAAGAGAGACTGATTCATAGTAGCCTAGGAACAAACAGATCAATTCAATAACCAGACACATCTTTAATGAGCACAGCTTCCTAATGCCATGTGCTAAGTTTCATCTAAGGACTTTGATTTGTCTGCTGAATTTTATTTTCTGTATACCCATACATATTAAGATTTTGAATATCATTAATGTTTCACTTGGCTTTTGTCTGTATCCAAAACACACGTTTTACGTTGATGAATCAAATAAAGTCACCCCATTTACTCTCGTTTTGTCTAGGAGAATGTCATACACAAGCATGCAAATATACTGCATACTGACCCTGGCTTAGGCCAAGCATCTGTTGTTTACAGCTGTTCAAGTCTCAGCACTATTGTGTGGGGATATATGTACAAATACCTGCACTAATACCATAGGGTATGTCTACACTACCACCCTAGTTCGAACTAGGGTGGTAGTGTAGACATACCCTATGGTATTAGTGCAGGTATTTGTACATATATCCCCACACAATAGTGCTGAGACTTGAACAGCTGTAAACAACAGATGCTTGGCCTAAGCCAGGGTCAGTATGCAGTATATTTGCATGCTTGTGTATGACATTCTCCTAGACAAAACGAGAGTAAATGGGGTGACTTTATTTGATTCATCAACGTAAAACGTGTGTTTTGGATACAGACAAAAGCCAAGTGAAACATTAATGATATTCAAAATCTACCAAATATCAAGTCTGCTTACAAACTCAAATCTCAGATCAGAGTCATCCTGTGAACCTGAAAACCTGGGTCTTTTAAGTGAAACAAAAGACAGGACTATGCAGCACTTTAAAGACTAACAAGAAGGTTTATTAGGTGATGAGATTTCATGGGCCAAACCCACTTCCTCAGATCATTATGTGGAAGAAAATTGGCACGACCATATATACCAAAGTGATACAATCAAAAAGAGTGAACACACATAAAATTGATTAATCAAACTTAAAAAGAACAGAGGAGGGGTGAGGGGGGAAGGTTAGTGTCTGTGAGGTAATGACATTAGGAGTGATAATTGGGGAAGCTATCTTTGTAATGGGTGAGATAATTAGCATCTTTGTTAAGACCCATATGCAAAGTGTCAAATTGAAGCATGAATGACAGTTCTGAGGCTTCTCTTTGAAGTCTGGAGTTAAAATCTCTTTGAAGCAATATTCTTGTTTTAAGGTCATTGAGAGAATGGTCAGTCTGGTTAAAATGGCAAGCAACAGTTTTCTCTCTGTGAGAGAGTATGATGTCTGTTTTATGTGCATTGATTCTTTGGCGAAGTGTCTGAGAAGTTTGTCCAATATACATAGCAGACGGACACTTTAGGCACATGATGGCATAAATTATATTTCTGGATGAACAGGAATATGTGGTCTTGATCTTGTAGCTGGCATGGTTAGGTCCAATAACGGTGTCCGCAGAGTAAATATGTGGACAAAGCTGGCACCGGGGTTTGTTGCGAGAGAAAGTTCCAGGGTTGGTATTAGTGTGGTATGTCCTGTGGTTGTAGGTAAGAATCATCCTGAGGTTAGGTGGTTGTTTATAGGAGACTATGGGTCTGTCTCCCAGAGCCTCTCGGAGTGTAGTATCCTGTTCCAATATAGGCTGTAGTTTATTGATAATGCATTGGACAGGTTTAATTTGGGGCTTTAGGTGATGACAAGTGGTGTTCTATTGTTGGTTTTCTAGGGTCTGTCTTGAAGTAGATAGTTTCTGGGTATTCGTCTGGCTCTTTCAATTTGTTTTTTTATTTCTATGGGTGGGTAATTGAGGTTTATAAATGCTTGGTAGAGATCCTGAAGTTTCTGGTCTCTGTCAGTGGGATTAGAGCAGATGCAATTGTATCTAAGGGCTTGGCTATAGACGATAGATCTATGGTGTGTCTTTTAAGGTTTCAAATACGATTCCTCCCTTCCTCCCTCCCCACAAAACCAGGCAAGACCCTAAGGTTGTTTTAACTCAAAGTATGTCTACTCTGCAACAGAATATGGTTGCAGCTCATGTAGTCCTACTTGAGCAAGTTTAATCTTGACAGCTCAGGTACTAGAGCTGCAAATCTAGAGCAGCATAGGCCTTGGCATGGGTTGCACAAGCCCATCCATAATCCTGGGTAATTACTGGAAGCTAGTCAATAATCAAATCTGTCTTGCTCCAGCCCAGAATATTGAGTTCTCTTTTTTGGGAGAAAACTTTGGGTCAATCTCTTCATGATACATGAAGATTCAGAGTGTATGTGCAGAAGATTGTGTAGAAAATCTGACAAGACGATGACAGAATCATATTTCAGTATGGCTTCAGGACAAAATGTGCTGCCACTCACGTGCTCCCTAAATTCAAAATTCTTTTAAGCAGAACTTCATTTTTTCTACTTATTTACTTTTAATGCTCAGTTCACAGAGCAGTCTTTGTTTATAAAGTACTTAGTTCTTAAAAGTCAAATATGTTTGGGGGAAGGTAACAGATTTTTCTAGAGATGAACTTTCGTATGTAGAATTTCACTGTTCATGGAAGAGTATAGGCAAGGTTTTCAAGCCCTCTGGGAAAAGGAGGGCTTGAAAATGTCACTCCCAAACAATGAGTGGTAAGGTCTGAATAAAGAGAGGAAGAAGATGGATATAAAATATATTTAGACCAAATCTTATAATATATATATTATATTTTTGTCTGGTTTTCATCCACAAATGGAGACAGGCACCCCCGAATGCAGGTGTGCAGAAAAATCAGAAATGAAAGGAAAAAGAATATCATAACAGAATTGTTTTATATCAAGTGAAAGAAAGTGAACCATACACTGAATACATCAGACTTACAGCAGCTACAGTATTTGCATTCTATCAAATGGACACCTGATGGCAGCACATTATAACACCAACACTGTTCACAATTGCTCTGTCATTTAAACCATGCTTTAAAATCTGAATGGACAATGCCATGTTTATAAGTGCATTAATAATATTCTGGGTTTCCCATGTGTAACCACATGAATAGGAAACAAACGTATTATGCATGCTTTTGTGTTCTGAATACTACATGGTATTAAGGCATGCAAAGCTCCACTTCTTATCCCTACATGCCCCTTGTTTAAATAATGTTAAAGGTGTAATAGAAAAATCAAAAAAAATTAATTAATTCCAAATTTCAACTGAAAAAGGCCTTTATACTTAGGTCATCAGCCCAATATGAAACCTTGATGCCAACTTGACTCATCATTTATACTGGATAACAGTGGCAAGAAATGAATGCATTCTTCCAATCCAAGATTTCCAAGAAACTATGATGCTTCTCCAATTAGGATCTGGCCACAGACATTAGAAATCCAATTATTAAAATAACCACCCCATCTTCAGCAGTATCTGCACTTTCTGTGGGCTCCCAGTTTGCTTTTGGTGTCGATTCAAGGCTCTGGTGTTAATCATTTAGGATTTCTGTGGGTCCAGCCCAGGCTACAATCAGGCCCTACCTCTTCATTTCCAACCTGCCAAGACTGCCCAAAGAATGATGCCTTTGACAAACTTATGAAAGGGAAGTGAAGGTTTTCCTGTTGGGGACACCTCTCCTTGTGAAAAAGCAACTGGTGAAGAAAAGACCCAAGTTTGGCTCTCTTTAGAGCTCATTACTGAGACTCTATTTTTCAAAAGTCTTCTGTCAAACCAAAAAGGAATGACAACAGAGAATGACAGAAATACAGAAACTTCCTTGTCTTATTGCAGCTTTCTATAGCTTTAAGGGAAATCTAAATCACACCCTTGGTTGACTAATGAATGTCTCTGTTTTGGTCAGTTCTCATTATTTCTGTTTAGGAAATCTTTTATTTTTCAAGTTAAATTTACTTTGTATGCAAGTTTTTGCTGTGAGAAAAAAAAATGTAATGCTTCAGCAAGGGTGAAATGTCATAAATTTGATCTTTGCAATGTATAAAGTCAAAAGAGTATTTGCTTTCAAACACATTTGAAAACCTGGCTTACTGCCCCAAAAGTCCCAAGTGTTTTCTTGCTATCCAGCAAGTTAGAGACCATACACATCCAGAAGCCTAGGCCGGGGGAAGGCCACTGTAGGAGTTCTGGGGGGCAGAATTTTGCTGCCCACCCTGTGCCTGTCCTCCTAGTGCTTCTGGCTGGGGAGGCTGGAGCCATGTGGTCTCCTTCCTCCCCTGTACTCCAGGCTGGAGAGGCTTGGGGGGGGGGGTGCATGATTAGCCCATCCTGTCTCTTCCTCTCCTGGGGGAGGGGCATGCATACTTGGTGTGCTGCCCCACCTCCTTCTTTGCCTTTGGGGGACAGGGCCTCAGAAGAGGGGGCGGAGCTGTAGGTGGAGCTGGAGGCCTGCCTCCCCCAGCCACAGCTGCACCAACCGTCCATGTTCGAGACCTTAAAATATAGAGTTATAAATATAGAGTGTTATAATATATCAATTTTTATAATATATCAATTGCCTGATGATCCTCAAAAAGGTAGAATGAATTGTGTCTATTCTCCTGACATTCAGACACATATAGAGATAGGATTTTCCTCAGCTCTCAGGCTATGTCTGCAGGGTTTCTTGCACAAAAGCGCGTCCACACCTCAAAGCGCATTGCTTTTGCTGTGTGCTTTTGCGCAAGAGAGCATCCACACTGCATGGAAACTCTTGTTCAAGAAAGCTCTCATGGCCATTCTCAGAATGGATAGGCTTTTTTGGATAGGCTCTTTTTGTGCAAGAAACCCCTGTGGAGCATCCACACTTGCCTTTTTGCGTAAGAGCTGTAGTGCAAAAAGGAGTTATGCCTCATAGAAGTAGGTATCTCTAAACTGCAAAAAGCCCTCTGTTCTGCTGTTTTACTGTCGTTTCCTTGCACAAAAATGTGCTTGAGTTGTGGACTCTCCCCAGGTTTTTGCGCAAAAACCTTGTAGCGTAGATGTAGCCTCAGTGTTTATCTACCTCTACTCCCACAGAAATCAATAGTAAAACTCCCTTTGACCTCAACAGTGGCATAGGTAGGACAATTCTGACTGGTTTTAAAAGTCTTATCCTAAATGCCTATTGGAAGCAGCAAACATTCGGGTATCTAGATCACACACCTGAAGTCCACACCAGCTGTACCCATACTTTGTTCAGTCAAAAACTTCATTATATCTATCTGCCTGGAGTCCAAAGACTGCAGCCAATTGAAGAGAATTGCAGCTGTCCTCATTATTAATATGAAATCAGGACTCATGGTCACATCATACATAGTAGATTGGCAGCTCATATCAACTATATTCTGAGAGCTGTAGCCTCAGCAGGCTACAACAACCTATTAAACATGAGCTCACCCATGTGCAGAATAGTAAAGATGTGGATTGCCTTTGGCCATATGCCAGACATTGACTACTTCTGATATTCATGATATAGCCCATATGACTGCTGATTAAATTTTAGTTGATAACGTAAAATGCACAATACCTTAATTTCTTTCCTCCATCTGCAATTTTAGCTTTCAGAAGATAACCTTCTTTTTTCACTACCTACAAGAAAGAATATATAGCTCATAGTACTATTTTTCATTAATATGAGTACCTGCTACAAGATTCTGAATATAGCAATATCTAGAATCAGAGCATTTTAAGTTTTTCCCATTTAGTTGTCTATGATAAGTTTTTTTCGAGTGTTGGCAAATTATTTATCTTGAATACCTATCAAATATATAGCAATATATTGGGAAACAGTAAGTCTTAAAAAATATTTAAGATAATCAGATAATAATCAGATTTAATAGTAAATCTAAAAATATTTAAGTCCAACTAAAGTTGCTAGTTATAAGTAAAATATTGATAAACAGATCATATTGGTTTACTTATCCATATTGTGTTATATGAAACATATTTGCTTGTAAGCTAGGCAGAATGTATATTATCCTAGAAACATAGTATCCACTGCTGTGAAATTATTAGCTCTTTTAAGCTACCTAGGATCAGGTATATCAATGGCAGAGCTCCAAAAGATCATCTAATGTAGGTGTACCTCCATAGGTGGCATTTTCCTCTTTGAATCAGACTAAATCAAGACCCCTTGTCAGATGCAGAAATGCATAATATTATTAGTGGTGCTGTCTTTCAGTTGAGATACAATACAAAGGAGCTCATTTCTTGCAATCATTAAAAAGTCACTTTTAAATGGGAATTGTGTATATACATGTTAAGGCAGCATTTATCATTAAATTTACAATTGCACCAAAATGTTCTAGTGATATAACCTAGAAAAAAAACAGAGTAACTTGCAACTGCCACCACAATCTTGAGTTTGAATGATAAAAGAAAACATCACAACTTGTGTGTATCTACCATAACTGGGTCAGAACATCTGGGGAGGTCAAACTGGCCAGAGCAACAATGTGTGGAGAGATGATTGTGAACCTCACTTATAGTTCTTCAATGGTACTGCTCTGTGGAAAGCAGTTCTTCCTGTGCAGTGTTAGAGCAACCTAAGGACAACTCCAATTTACACGAGGCTGCAACATTCACAAAAGGCCAAAACTGCAGCTGAGGATTGGCACAGCACAGGGGTGTCCTGGTTCGCTCCTTCCTCGATTCTCTATCCTGTCACACATACACGTACACTTTTCTTTGTTAAACTAGCAGCAGTAGCATAACAGCTCCTATGTCATATCTATAGTATTAGAGGAGCATCCTTGTATTTGGGAGATTGAGGGGTTGGTTTCTGGAAACACAGAATTTCAATACTCGGTCTGAACAATCCCTATTTTGAAATTTGAGTGGGGAGCAAGGATTCATTTCTTTATAACATTGCTGCTCAGTCCCCTCTTTAACATTCCTGAACTGGAATAGAAAATGAATACAACACCAAAACTGAGGTAGCTAGGGAATTCAAATCCAATCCGCACAACTATCTCTTGTTTCAACCTAAATGTTTAATTCTAAACTTCAGTATTTCAAGAATTATTCTTCCCATCTCATGGTTTATCCTGGCAATAGAAATCCTTCAGCTAATATGCAGAAGGCTACTTGTTTCTATACATGGAATATATTATTCTGATTTAATAAAGACAGTGATTTACTTTTAAAATATTACCATTATCTTTGATAACTTGATATTATTGCAATATTCATTGGTATTCCCTATAATTAGCACAGTGACATTTAGTGACATTTTTTAGTTATCAAGGCAATTGAAGAGGTTTCTAAGGTACCACTCTATATTTATATTTATATATTTATATGTACATATTCTGTATAGAATAACATGTTAGTGTATATTGCAAAGTACATCTTCTCTTATGTGAATTCACAGAAATTCTTCTAGGACAATACAATTTATTCTTTCAGTCCTGCATTTGATGGATGACATGGGGTTACAAAATCATGAAATGTCCTTATAGTACTCTCTTTTCTTTCTGCCTCAATAAATATCCATCATTTGTTTGCGAGTTGTTGACCTTCCTGCACCTTTCCAGCTGAGGAAAGGCTGAGAGAACAATCCAAAATACCCTCAAAGAATTAGCATAAAAATAAGGCATTGGAAGCCTAGAACTGCTTCTTTCTGCATTTAAAGACAGTATTAAATATGAAAATTGTGTGTGTGTGTGTCTGTCAGTGTCATGGACAGGAATGTACACTAACACATTTGTGTGTATTAATATATGAAACAATGAAGCAAACTACTAGTGTTTTTGTAAAATAGCATTAGAAAACATAATTAATTGTATATTAGCTGTGATTTCTATAATTTTTTTGGATTAAATTATATATAGGACCTGGGCCAAATTTTGAACACTTTAATCTAAAAAATTCCTCTTGAAGTCAATGTCATTATGTTGATGATTCTGAATTTCTATGTTAATATTCTTTAAACAGTTAGAATGTTTTCATTTCCCTCATTTTTTCTTCAACAAAATTCTATAGTAACTAATTATATAGAAATATTGAAATTAAAAACATACTGTCTTAATTCTTCTCAATATATTTTTTCTCATCACTAATTTCAAACATCACTAATGACATATTCTCATTTAGTGTGTTCCTTAATTTTGTGTATCCTGCAAATATGAACTAATACTTTTTGGAAAAGATTTATAATCTCTCTCTATATATAAAAAAGTTTTTCCTGATGAGCAACAAAATGATGTCATCATGCTCTCACACTCTCTGGCCATGAAATCCACTAGAAAGAGGGGGTTGATGAGCGCAACAAGCAGTGACTGCAGCGCCCAAGTAATTAATTAAGATTCAACTATTAGTATTGCTGAAATGTCAGCTGACTGATTCAATAGCCATTTGAAATTGTATACCATTTACTAAAATGCTTTCTCCTTTCTAACCTTGTAATTTCCACTAAAGAATAAAATTTCTTAGTTTCTTTATATATTCTTACCATGCCAAGTCATCAGACTGTCAAGTGTTAATCTACAATACAACACATATTGTATTTTCCATTAAAAACATTTAAAGTAAATAAGCAAAGCAAAACACAGATTCTGGAATATATCACTTACCATTTGTTCCTGTGGACTAATGATGTCTGTGAGTATTAAGTTATGTTGGGAATGATTTCTTCTGTGACGGGATATCTGAAAATATATTCATTTACAACTTAGAATCAGCTTGATACAATTGTACTAAAATCAAACAAGATTTAAATGAAAGGATATACTGAAAAAAATCTGTTGATAAAACATGTATTTGCATATTTAATATATTAAATACAAAAGTTTTTGATAACCTGGTTCCCACTGAGCATAAACAGACTTAATGATCATTCCTAGTCCTAATATTTGCTGGGAAAAGAATCTATTATATCTAATATGTTCCAGCAGTTGTAATGGCTACCCTGTTTTTCCAGAAGAAAAGTGTACAAAAGTATAGTAGACAAAAATATTACACATGAGTCTAGAAAATTATCAGACACACAGGAATCTTTCAGAATGAACCTAAGCTTGCCAGGTTTCCCTGTAAACCTGAAACTCAAGAGTGGATACCTAAAAGATATTCCAAGGCTTTTTGTAAAAGTTAGTTCTGGTTTAATTGAGTTTTATACACAGCAGAGACTGATTTACAGTTTGGGGTTGGAACCCTACTGAAGTCAGTTGTTTTTACTTGGATCCGACAAAAATGAGACAAAATTAAAATCTGACTGATTTTTACTCCCCATAATCCTTTATCTTACCCACTAAAACACAGTTAACAAAAAGACAAATATTTACATTTAAATATTTGAATAATATCTGCCAGGTATTAATTAATCAATCCATGGATCCTTCTTTAAACAGATAACCATATTATGATCCTGGTTTTTTTGCATACTTTACCTTTATATTTATATGTCACCATTAACATTTTAAGACATAAAAACTAGGTAAAGCTCTGCTCTCCTTGTCAGAACTAATGAGCTTAATGAATTACCCATTATAAATTCAATACAAACATTCAGATAGAGCAATAAACATTCTCCACAATTCAAAAGTTTCTCTGACCTATTTATAAAGAATATCACTTAACAATTTCATTAAGGGTGAGTAACAGCTGGTGACATGGCTGTGTCCTAAAGTGTTTTTCTCTCTTAATATTCTGCATCTTAAGCAATAGAGCTTTCATAAAAAATACTTTAGTTAGTGGCAGTGCCTCCTTTGGGGAGAAAAAAATGTCAGACCACATTTTCTGTATTTTGCAATCTTGTTTTCAGGAGTGTCATGTTCCCGTTTTATTAGTATGTAGGGTAAACAAGAATGATTTGCTGATGCTATTGAGAGAACTTCTAAGACTGTGGTCTTTCTATTTAGATTTTGGATTGAACTTAATATTAATGCAAACAGAGGCATGCATATAAATTCAAAATAAATTAATTCAATTTATCTTTTTTTATCAGCAGCAAATCTGGAGATCATACACTGCACAAGACATATAACTAAACTATTCAGGCCTAGAACATGGAAATGCTCTCTTACAGAATTCCATATGTAATTATTCTTTGACAAGGCATATTGCTAAATGATCTTTTTAAAATATTTTTTCTCAGACAAGTTATATAAAATGACATACCACTATTCCCTAAGGCCTATTTTATAGCCAAGCAATATTCAATAGGCTGCTCAAGAATCAAAATGTGGCTTTTTGTGTCCCTGCATACCATCCTTGGGACAACCACTAAACTGATGAGAGAGCTGCATTTGCCCTGGTTTTGGTCACAATGGCCAGAGCAGAGATAAGAGAATTGACAGGATCCATTGGGGTATATTTTTGAAGCAGCCAGAAAAGAAGAATGAATAGACAGAAAAAGAGAAATGAGAAGTATCCCTCAATTTCTTCCTAAAAACCATGTTTGGAATGTGGGGAAAGAGATGTGGGAAGAAGAAAGAAACATAAGAACTGTCACGTTAGGTCAGATCAATTGTCCATCCTCACATCTGTCTCCAACTTTGGTTCATACCAGAGCTTCAGAGAGAGTGAACAGAAAGGGTAGTTGGAATGATTCACTCCATTGTTCCCACTCTTGGCTTCTGAGAGTCAAAGGTTTAGGGGTGCCCTGAGCATGGGGTGGCATCTGTGACCACCTTTACTAATGGCCATTGATGGACCCCTCCTCCATGAACTCATGAAGTTTTCTTTAGAACCCGGTTATATTTCTGGCCTTTGCAACATCCTATGGCAATGAGTCCACAGACTAATTGTGCTTTCGTTCAAAAAATATTTTATCTTCATAGTATTAAATGTGCCATCTGTTTATTTCACCAGATTCTTGGTTCTTGTATAATGTGAAGGGTTATATAAGAGGGATGTTAAAATTAGATTAATCAACTAATCATTCCAATGACTATTTGATTAGTTGATAGGGGTATGTCTAGAATACATGGCTCTGTCAACGGAGTCATGTAAACTAGTTTACCCAACATGGTCAATGAAGTGGGGATTTAAATAATCCCCGCTTCATTAAAATAAAAAGGCCCACTGTGCTGTGCCAACAATCAGCTGATCCTGCACAGCACAGCAGTCTAGATGCAGCTTGGTCAACAAGGGAAGCCTCTGTCGACCGCTCCTGTAAACCTCGTTTCACGAGGCATAAGGGAGCGGTCGACAAAGGCTTCCCTTGTCAACCGATCCACGTCTAGACTGCCACGCTGTGCTAACAATCAGCTGATTGTAAGCACAGCGAGGTGGCCATTTTTATTTTAATGCAGCAGGGATTATTTAAATCCCCGCTTCATTGACTATGTCGGGTAAACTAGTTTATATGGCTCCGTCAACGGAGCCATGTAGTCTAGACATACCCTAAGGATACCTCTGCTTTGAAATGTAGCAAGAGCCTGCCCGACTGTTTCTATATTTCAAAGGTAGAAGTGCCACTTGATGTTTTGCCTTTGAAATGTGCAAGAGCCCCAGCAGGAGCTCTTGTTCATTTCAAAGACTGAAATGCCGCATGGAGCCTGGAGCCAGCAGGGGACTCTTAGTCCCCCACTGACGCCGAATTCCATGCAGCCCTTCCACTTTGAAACCAGGACTTCTCTTTACAAAAGCCATGTTGACTCTCCCCCAACAAATCATAATTACTTACTTGTTTGCTTGGTACCAAAGCTAGGCTCACTGGCTTGTAATTGCCAGGGTCCCCCTTGGACCGCTTTTTAAATATCAGTAGTACATTATCTACCCATCAGTGATGTAGTACAGAGGCTTGATTCAGCAGTAGGTTTCATACTAGAGTTAGCAATTTTATAATTTATTTGAGTTCCTTCAGAATCTCATGAATATCATCTCCTCTTGATGACTAATTATTATAACAATTATTAATTTGTCCTAAAATACCTTCTACTGATACTTGAAAATGGTAGCATTTATATTTATATTTGTTATTCAAACAAGGATATCTGTAATAAGGCTATTTCCTGCACATCCTCCACAGTGAAGACAGGAAAACAGACTGACAGAAGATACTGCATTCAAAAGATTTCTAGAAAACAATATAACAATTGCTAATTCTAATATAGATGTCATTAATGACCCATTATTATATTCATTAAAAACCTTGATTTGATTGTACCAGAAACATTAATGTGTGCATTAAGAGAGTAGAGGACTCTTACTGGTTTGTTATATGATTGTTGTATTAATAATTTGTAAAAATGATACAGTTCAGGCCCATTGAGGGAGGTGACAAAGCAGGCAGTTGCCCCAGGGCCTGGCAATTCAAAAGGCAAAAAGGCCTGGGGTTCCTAGCAGATCCTGTCACTGCTGCAGTAGCAGCAGTGGCCTGAGCCCTGGGCCCTTTAAATCACCACTGGACTACTTTGCGTTGTACTCCAGGTGGCTCTTAGGTCTGGCTCCCCCCAGCCCCAGTCCAAGCCCTATCCCTTTTATCTGAGGCCTCATCACTTCTACCTGAGGCCCTTCCCCCATGATTCTGTCAGTCCCCTGCCCAAAGTTCTCTAAAAGATGAAAATACAAAATCATGTCAAATTCTGATCTTTGATTCCAATGTAAAGAGAACAAGAACCTTCTTCAGCCACCAAGAGTGAATCTAGATATAGTCTTTTGACCTGTGGCTCATTTCTACAGTGAATCAAGCCAAACCAACACTGTGATTAGAAAATTCCCCCAACATCTGGCTCTCAAGTGAAATGAAAGAAAACTGTTTAAAGTTCTCTATTATTGAAAGTCATGGTGGCTATTTGGATTAGGGATAGCATCACTCTTTTAATCAGATTTCCCTAAACTCAACCAAAGCATCTTGATAGGAACTAACAACTGTAGTAAAGGTAGACTGGAGATTTGCCTAAAAAACTATTAGAAAATAAATGTTTATATTTTGTAAATATCCCATCTAATAAAGCAGTTTATTGGTCACATTACACTGCTGCGTCCCAAATAGACTTATAGTAGGAATCTGTTCTTAATAGGTCCACTTGATTAATACAGAGTAGTTTTGGGAACAAAATGGACAAATAAATCACCAGTTTTGCTTTGTGTAAAACGCTGAAAAGCTAGGTGATTACTAATAAGTGCACACACACCTAGAGAAGGATACACTCCATTAATTTGTTTCTGAGATATTCATCTAAGATAGGTACACAGTAAAGATGATTAAGATTTCATTATCCCAATACCGCACACTCCATTATCCTAATAAAGTAAAGCTGAACCTAAATAATATCTGTCATAACACCTCTAGCTCAGCCCTATAGTGTGTTATGAAAGGCAGAGATTTATATGAGTAGTTCTAAAAAGGAATCTGAAGGAAAGTCATTCTATCAGCAGTTTTCTGATTTGATGAACATTCTTCAGTCAGCAACAATGTCACCTGCAGCATTAAAAATCCACTCAGTGAGCGCCTGCGAGTCCGTGGGCAAGTCTGGTTTTGTTAAATTCAGCCTCAGCAACTTCTTCTCCCTCCCTCCCCCCAGTTAGCTAAAGGGTATCCCTCTACTACTGTACTGGAGTTATTCTAGCATCCAAAAATGATCGAGTGTCATACTTTCTGCATACACACAGAGACTCTGTAAAATATGCTTACTACCCCAGTAAGAACTAATAACTCTCACAACTACTATCTTAATACAATGTAATGTAAATAAAATACCTG